TCGTAATCCAGTGGTTTTGCCGCATATAATTTGCCTGTTTTCGGCTCAATTGCATATTTCGATTTTAAACGTTCTATCATGGAGTCGTTAAACAGCTTAGTAGTGGGCGTCCAATCTATGGAAAACTCCACCTCCTTATTTACCCCATAGTCAAGATCTGCAACCTTGAATTGGTGTAAGACACTTTGTTTGGGAGTGTCCTCCGGAATCTTTAGTAACAAACCCATGGATGTGTCAGCAAACACTGGAGAATTGTCATTTACATCTTCGACCTTGATGCAGACAGTCAAATTATTACTCAAATTAGGTGACGCAGCATCTTCTGCAATAAGAATGAAGATGTACTTCGATGTGTTTTCACGATCTAACTGTCTATCAAGCCGTAACACAGGAGCGCTTGTGGCGGTACTGTTTACCGATCCGCTAACCAGTGTAATAAGGCTAAACTCCGCGCACGCATTTTGCGTAAATGGAACATCAATATTTTCTTGCTCACGTTGCTGATATAACAATTTGTATTTGATATTATTAAAAATACGAGAATCGACGTCAATGGCAATTGGAAGGGGGTGACTACTGCCTACAGGAGCTGACTCTGGGATCGTCAATTCCCAGTCACAATTCTTCGAATAATTTGGTGGAGATGGATTTCGTGGGAATACTGGTGGGTTGTCGTTTTCGTCAGTTACAAATACCTTTAACACAAACATCACTGGTGATGAAGTGGAATAAAAGAGATAAGCATTCAGTTGGATTTCACATACCTCCAGATCGCAACAATCAAATCGATTGCAAATCTCATCTCTATCCAGGTCTCCCCTTGTCAATAAATCACCCTGAGTGGTGAGAGTGAACAAACTGTCAGGGGTTAGGATCACACGTTCAAAGGGATGCGTTGTGTTAATTCCGTAAACTATGTTGCCGAGTAGATGATTCGCCTTAACGTTGTCGGGTAGATGGAATTTTATTATTCTCTGTTCTAGCTTTGCACTCGCCATTTTACTGTTATAAACCACAAAAATTGTAACAGCACATGTCGAAATCACGCACATAAAATTTCGCAGCATATTTCCGCGGTTTACTTCCGTAATGCTCGCATGGATTCGGCCGTCAATGGCTTACAGTTACGAATTCTCAAACGGCTGGGTTGGTCTAGTCCACGGTGTCTAATGCCAATTAGTTTAAAGACTGACCAGTAAAAATGCAGCATTGTCTTTTCCAACGTGATTGGTTAACACAGTAGGTTAATGGTACAACGCGGAAAATTGCGGTTGGGTGTGTCAAACGATCACTGTACTGAGTAGCTTAGAGAACTTGTGCAGCGAATGCGGATAGCTTAGGGACCAGCATATAGTATGTGTGAGGTGACAATAAATGTAAGTGGATCTCTTAATTTTCACACAGTAGAATGACACTTATGTGCAGCTGATTAGCTAGACAGCATGAAATTTCAATCAATGGCTTGTCCAATCAGACCATGCGGCATACGCAAACACATGTGACCAAGGCTGAGCAATTTATGTTGCAACTAGTGGATGTACAAAGAAAACCAACCTTTCACCAAAATCTGATGTTTACACAGAAGTAGTTTCAAAACATTGATAACACTAGCTTCGGTGGCGAACAATATGTGTTCCTTAAGTTACTTTGGGTAGCGTCTTCAAATGGAGCAGACGCATTTAAAGGACAAATGACCATGTTAACCAAGTGTTGCAGAATCAAATTACCGATATCCTTCATCAGGCGTTGAGGCAAGGCAGTGATCAGCCATCCGTTTGAACAAGTCCCTGACCGTGTCTATAAAATACCTTGCCTCACAGGCGCAAGTGGACTGACATAAGATAAAGGATTCGGATCGGAACGCCAGTTTGTCCTTTGGATGCTGAGGAATCACTGGTCCTGATTCGGCAAGTATCTTGGCAGTTTAATAACTCTGTGACCGCGATTGAAATATTTTGATAAATATTTCAAAACAATGTCACATTTAAAAGGGACTGTAAAGAAGATATCATTTGTGGCACTGAAGCGACAGATTTTGCAGCAGCTGGTGAATGAAATGCTTCGTAATAAATGGAGTAATTATTCCATTTTCTTGCATAGTGCTTAATTTGGGCTTCGATTCACAATGAAGCGTCTCATTTCTACAAATGGCTCCTGCACTATGGTAAAACAGCTAACTAAATATTGTTATATTTCCGAGGTGCAAATACGAGAAGTTTCCTGTCTTGACGTAAGTATGTTACTTTGCATAAGACACTCATTTCCATTGTCAGCCCTCAAGCCTGTGCAGTAGAATGACGAATCCATGTTCAACCGAATGCCATTTACCTCATATGCTTATAATCTACTGAAGGTCCTTCAGTCTCAAAACAAGAACTAAAACGGATTTGTTTAATCTACTTTCCAGTGTTTGGGTAACTACTTAACGACCACTGTAACTGATTCATGCGCTGTGTGCGTGAAATAAGCGAGAGAACAACAAAGAACACATGCGTAGTTACTCAAATGACTGGAACAATTTTCGCCGTTTAAATTGTTTCCTTTCAAAACCACAAAAAACGCGCATAACATATCTAGCCATAACTAAATCAGCTGCATCTAGAGGCACAGGCACACAGGCCACAATTCTGCGTCTCCAAGGCGGTAGGCAAAAAATTCATATGGAGACCAGGTTTGAAATTTTAATACAACACGTACTATTAACTACAACTACATAAATATTCATCAGTGATACGTTCAACAACATGTTTTTACACGTCGCACATCAGTATAGTTAACTAAAACCCAAACACCTACAAGCTGAAGAAGCCGATAAATAAGCATAGACATGAGGTAGAACCCATAAAAGTACGTTCATCGCACTGCGTTATTCATTCATATGGAGACCAGTTTTGAAATTTTAATACAACACGTAATATTAACTACAACTACATAAATATTCATCAGTGATACGTTCAGCAACATGTTTTACACGTCGCACATCAGTATGGTTAACCAAAACACAAACACCTACAAGCTCAAGAAGCCGTTAAATAAGCATAGACGGGATGTAGGACCCATAAAAGTACGTTCATCGAACTTTCCAGTGTAAGGCTGCGTTAAAACGCACAAACCCAAATACATTTGAAAAGCACGGAAAGAAGACGAAGGCTGGTAGATGCATGCATTTCGTATTGTCTCCTCAGTACATTAACAATAACTGGTAAGCATAGATATAGCTAAGAGTGGGTGCAACCAGACAAGCTTAAGGTGCAAAATGAATGACGGAAGTTCACACCTACGTCCAAGGCAGCTTTAGGCTAACAAATAATTGTTTCTGAACACACAAGGCGGGCTTAATCCGGCTAATTGCGACAGCCTCGGCAAACCGAAGAAAACGGGGATTAGTGTGACGTAACACAACTTTAAACGCTGAGTTCAGCTCTAATTGGTGACCCGGTCAGTACCTGCACTTCACCAGCTTCACACCAGTGCGGTACAAACGGACACTTGTGAAGACTCTAGTTAGTCGTGCCAGACGAATTTGTTCGGCCGACTGTCTGGACGATGAGCTGGTGTTCATTACAGCAACACTAATGGCGAATGGCTACCCTCGCAGATTTATCGAGAAACACAGCCAGCCGCGAGGACCAAAGGACTTGGTGCACACGGCAGCCAAGAAGAAAGTGTATATCGAGTTACCTTTCAAAGGTGGAAGAGTTCAATTTCCAAATACATTGTTTTGTTCTCTCCTCTGAATGCCACCGAAATTTGTGTTGGTGTTGTCAGCATAAAATCCCATAATCTTCTGCTCATATTATATTTTCATCCCATTCTTTATAGCTTGTCAAATGTTGTCCGATATGTCATCAGTAAGTGACTGCGGATCGAATAATTTGACCTCGATATCAAATGACGATCCAAAATATATCACGAGGTGCGAATAACTTTACTTCCTTGAGACTTGAGGTGCCTGTGCATATTGATAGGGATTTTACTTCCTTCAGTTCTTCTTGAAGTTTATCCAGCAAATGGACCCGGAATATTACATATTAGCATTAGTATTATTATATGTATTATTAGTATAAATATAAATGTTATTAATATTATCATGAATGTTATAATCATTGGTAATATTATTATTGCCATCATCATTATTAGTAGTAGTATTGCTTCACATTTTATACTGGCAAATTAAACTTCGGCGCAAACATTTTTCCGCCAAGTACATGGTGCAGTTCACGCTGTATATCCGCGTGATAAGAGAACGTACCTTCTGCAGCTGCTAACTTGGCTTCTCGGTTTCCAAACATTGCTGATCGGAAATAATTATTCCAGGGGTAGAATATGCTGCCACAGACACGGCTGCCTTAGAACGATTCGATTTTATGTGCTTTATGATATCTGATCTTGCACCGTGAACCATAGAAAATTCGGATTTTCACTTGTCACACCGAACATGCGAGTCGTTGTCGTATGTTGCCTTCTTAATGGATAAAAAATCACTCTCCAAATAAATAATCACCTTACACTTTCGTTTATACATATTTTTCATACCGAACTAGACAGGAAGCACGCATTCCCACTAAAGTTCCAAAAATATCATCATCGCTTTTCTTCCATCTCTGCATATTGTGGTAAAATGTTTCCTTGCCGCGTTGTCCACTCACGCAGTCAACTATCCTGCCAAACCCATGCCGGCCCACTTAGTTTGGTTTTATTGTAGCAAGAACGACGCGACGATGAAGAACAAATTTTATTAGCGCAATCGCGAACTATAGCAACACCCTCACAAACGTACTTTAATGAGTCGCGTTGCTTTCCCACGACGCATCATCCCTCCGGACTTCCACTTGCGACACCTCTATGCACTCCAAAGTGCAAAGTGACGGGGTATTCCTCCCCGATTTCACCCCCATATCTCCGCTTCTACGCGCGTCATTCTGACTGGCCCGTGTGTCGTTCGATAGTTTGTGATTTGTCTGAGCGTGGATACAACACACAGTGCTTGGGGTTGGTGCGGGATGAAACAATAACGGAGGTTTCCTCTTATTTATTGAGTTCGCGACGAATACCCTCTCCGTTCTGCCTGGTACAGGCTCATACCGGACGCCGCTCCTGCCCCGTTCGCGTCTCGTTCCGTCAAGCCAATGTTGCTCGATATGCTCTGCTTCACTGCACCAGTTCCCGTTTACGTCCGCTCCCGTTTTAGTGGTCTTTTTTCTTCCGTCCAATCTCCGCCTTCTGCCTCCACACATTCTGGTGTATGGTTTTAATTTTTCACGTAGATTCTAGCTGCTTAAAGCAAAACATTCTGACGTCTACGATCTCAAAGGGGTACAAGAGCGCGACAGCAGCTTGAAATGCGGGATTGTGCCGCCTAAATCGGAACGTATGACCACCTTGAGCGTAAGTGATTTACCCGAATATTGTCAAGGAAATTAGGCGGGAGTTACGGTCAACATTAGCACTTTTGATCTCTGATCCAGTGTGAATCGTCAAAGCCAATGCCTATATGACTATACTGAATGAGGTGCAGTCATCGAAGTTGCGGCAGGTTGATCGAACCGGCCGGCATGTCATCCATGCGCGCCTCGTACTCTGCAGCCACAGACCGAACGTGCGTGCGGGGTCAGCAACGGTGGACTGCATTGTCAAGGTGGCGACAGACACCTGATCCATCGCTCGACTGAAGCATGGACTAAGTAGCGAAAAAAGCTAGTGGCCATGTGTACAACTGAATGGACACTTGCAACAAGCCCTGAGAGCCTATCCTTACATGGTATAACGTACCGTGGCCACAGGTGAACACGTGCGAGCCATGTAACTAGGGCATGACATGTTGCTAAATTTGGCCGCACAGTGTAACTCAGGTGTGAACAGATGCACACCATCGGTTCACACACTACGCCAAAGTTCGGCTTGTGTCCGTGGGACACTACAATTGCATGTGTAACCCGTCTCAGGGAACCTATTCATGTCAGCATTGATCTGTCCCTTTGCCGTCACAGCCTCTCGCACGGCAGAAAAATAAACTATTTGTTCTTTTATAAACAGTTAGTTCCCTTCAATAGTTAGAATAACACAA